CGACTATTAAATCAGTCGTCGACGGTTTTGATAGTCGACTAATCGTGGCAGCCCTAGTCTGAACATTGGCCGAGTATCCCTTCAGAAATTTGTGCAGCACTGACATTCTGCTTACTGAAGAGGATTCAGGCTGTGATCCAGAACAAAGGTGGAAATACAAAGCATTAAGAAAATAAAAGATTTATATACTTCCTGCTGTTCCCAGTACGGGGCCAGTATTTAATATAAAAAACTGTTGCTTTCTGTAATTACAGAATAACACAGTTAATCCCTGAAGTGATGTAATTATTGGAATTTGATATAACTTTGAATCATGTTAGTGATATTGATGTTCATACCTCTACTGTTGCGTTTTGGGGGCATAGGCCACACGATAGACACTTAGTGTGCACTCTGGTTTTTCTCAGACGCTCTTTCAAGTGCACTCATCTGTCCATGTCTGTTGTATGTGTGCAATCCCACAGGTAAAAAATTTGAAAACACAGAGATGTTTGGACAGTACCCCTTGCAGGTCAATGGGTTCAAGGACCTACACGAGTGTCTTGAGGCCGCAATGATCGAGGGTGAGATCGAGTCCCTGCACTCAGCAGAGAATTCTGCCAGGTCTGGACAAGAAGTAAGTGCCAGAGCTCGCTAACAGTTAAGCTCCCGCAGAAGAACTTTAGATTTAGATTAGTTTTCCATCAGAAAGTGTTTTATATGTCACAAAAAATCTAATATCTGTCTGATCTTTCCATCTTGGAAAGAAAACACCTGCATATGGAACATTTGCTTGTTTGCATCAATATATATGTTCCACAATTCTATTTGCCATCGTCACCTCTCAGTGGCACAGAGAAAGCAATCAGGTTAAAAGTAAGAGATTATGTGCTGGATCCTCTCCAAAGGGCTAACCTCTTTGCCCTTATGTGACACCTGTACTATTTTGGGTTTGACCTCAGCTTAGCTGTAGCCTTGACTGCGCTGTCCCAGAGCTGCCTGGAGCAGCTAATTATCAGGCCAGCAGGTTTGCAGATGAGTATGGCACCCAGCCCTCTGGAAAAAACACCAGCCATCAGCACTGGAAATGAAAGGAGACAACGCCATTCACATCATACACAGTAGCAGGGTTTCACAGATTACTTAACTTAGGAGAGGTGAGAAGTGCAAAGTCACACAATGTGTTAGTTGGTGACTGAGGCTACGTCCACGGCGTGTTCGTCTGAAAACGCTCCGCGTCCACACTGTCGTTTTCAGTCGTTTTCACAGAGTTGTGCGTCCACATTGAAACGGCTAAAAACGCTTACCTTCCAGTACTGCGCACGCGTGAAACGTGAGACGATTCGACCTGTGCCATTTCCTTCTGCTGTTTATTTACTTTCCGGCTCTTTGAAATGTCGCGGCAAAATGTTGACGAAAGCGCGAAGTCGTTTTTTTAAAATAGATTAACAATGAGGTGGAGTTGTTGCTGCGAGTAACACAAAAGTACAAAGTTGCAAAAGCGAGTGAGAATTAAAGAATTTGAAGAATAGCTCTGTGGAGCGCTACAGACGGATATTAATCTTTAATAGGGCTGTCAAAACTGAGAGCAAACAAAACAGCTGCTGTGTAACGCCCTCTGCTCTCTTAGTTTAATTGGTCACTTGACTGCATCACGTGACTAAAATGTGTCATGGTTTTCTACGTTCTCTCTGTCCACACTGCTTTAACTTTGAGAGTATTTTAAAAACGCTGCGTTTTCCATGAGCAAAAACGGCGTCTCAGTGTGGACGGGAGGCCAAACGAAAACGCATTAGTGTGGACGTAGTCTCAGCCAACTAACTTGGTCATCTCAAGCCACAACAAGCTGTTTTATTTGTAGAAATAGCCAATCAGACAAAAGCTGTCTTTAAGGCACGGGGAAGGGAAATAATAAACTTAGACAAGAGAAAACCTCAAAACCAAGAATTTGTGTTAAACTCAGATATATTTAACAACCCTTAAGATTGGTTGCAGTGGCTCAGCATGGGGAAAAAAGATCCCAACCCAGCACATTTTCCTCCAACACAGTGCTTCACTTTGCATCACAGTACGGCAAGCTAACCTGTTTATCTTGCATGACATTGTCCCCCATTTCTAATGGGAAAAAATACATTCAAGTATTTGAAACACAAAGTTAGTATAGATCAGTTTGTTTTCACATTCTGATACAGATCCAATGTCTGATTTTAAAAATGAGAACATGACATGTGATCTTGAAATTTCCAGTATCTGAGGGTCTGTATTTGATCGTTTTTGAATACCAAAATCCATCAACATCCAATTTTCTTACAGCATTGGTTCACAGAACTCCCTCCTGTGTTGACCTTTGAACTGTCAAGATTTGAGTTCAACCAAGCACTCGGACGTCCTGAGAAGATTCACAACAAGCTTGAGTTCCCCTCTATGCTCTACATGGATAGGTAACGTAATCAGGCTTTCTTTTTTACCACCTCCGTTAGCCTGTAGTGTGTATATATGCAATCCTGACGCTCCTGGTGTGATATGTGTGTGTTGTCAGGTACATGGACAGGAACAGGGAAATAACCAGGATCAAGAGGGAGGAGATCAGACGGCTGAAAGAGCATCTGACACTCCTCCAACAGCGACTGGAGAGGTATGGCTTGTCCACTGATACCCCATTATTCAGCCAAGGTCAGCAGAACTTGCCAGACAGCCACAGTCATTTTTCACTCAAACTGCACCCTTTCATCTTCTGCCCTTTCCACTTTGTTGCTCCGTCTGCCTCCCTCCATCTCTGCTACGTCTTGTTTTTCTGTCAGGTATCTGAGTTACGGCTCAGGCCCCAAGAGGTTTCCTCTGGCAGATGTCCTCCAGTATGCCATGGAGTTTGCTTCCAGCAAACCAGTGTGTACCTCCCCAGTGGACGATATTGACACATCAGCACCCCCTGGTGGAACAACAGGACAACAACTGCCACCACCAAGGCGAGTTTTACAAAATAAAAAATAAAAAAAGCCTGAAGTGTGTGTCAGATTTGTACAAAGAAGGTGAAGATGAACGAGTTGAAGATTAGATGGTGCAAAAAAACAAATGGTAACAAAACGTGATAAAAGGTTAATATTATCACATTAAATCAGTCACAGTTACCAGAACAAACTCAGTCCTTCCACAGTTTCTGAAAATATATGGAGCGTGGGACATACGAGAGAGGGCTGCGTCACGCAACACATGATGTGACGTCAAAACACAGGCGACAAGTCGAGCAAAATGGCAGTGTAAGAGAGTTTGTC